CGACTGCCTGACCGAAAGAGGTGAGCTCAATCCCTACGTGTACGATGTGTCTACTCTTGACTTTTTCCACCCTGTTCTGATTGCTGTAGTGTTTCCATGTGTGGCAGGCAACATTCGCAAGCCACCTCCAGAGCTGACGCTCAAGTGGATCTCCAAGGCCTGGAAGGCCGTGCCCGAGGAGTTGATTCAGCGCTCGTTTCTCACCTGTGGCATCAGCAACGCCCTGGATGGGTCCCAGGACAATCTCTGCATGCAGCACCGGCGGGACGCCGTCAAGGGTGAAGTAGAACTTGACGACGAGATTGCAGCAGATGGATTCTGCTGCAACAACGTAGAGGAGCCAGAGTCGGATGGGGAGGCCGACCAAGATGGCTCCGCCACTGTTGATGGTGATGCATAGGATGCTAGGAAGAAAAGAATGCATAGGATGCTAGAGAAGGTCAGTCAATGTTGCGGTAAACTATCAGTAGGATTTAGTACCACATAGAATTGGAAAAATATTATGTTGTAGTGAAAATAGCCTGTAAAAGATAAGATAATAATAGTCAAAATAAAAAACGGAGGCGCTTATAATGTGTCATAATACATGGGTGCGCTTATAATCCGTAAGCCTCCAGGGGTGCGCTTATAATCGAGGACCATATATAAGCGCCATCACCCTTTTACTGTCAGAATAGTAAAGAACGGAATGAAAGAAAGAAGAAGAGGGATTTCACTAGCAGGCAGTTGAGTACATATAGCAAACCCTAACAAGGCTGTACTCACTATAGAGTACCCCACTGCAGACTAGAGAAATATAACATTCTAACACACCCCCATAGTCAAAGTGGGGTATGATCAGCACAACAAGCAGCAGTTTATAGTTCACAAATATAAGCAAAGCTAGAGGCAGTCACAGACGGTAAATGAGGAGGAGGGACTATGAGAGGAGTGGAGATAGGAGGCGACGGGTGAAGCCGCAGATACACGGGCAACAGAAGCGGCGCGCACGGTGGCTACCAGAGCAAAGGCCCCAGACTACAGGAGTAACTGGTTCCGCGGCTAAGACGAGCGGCAGGAGCAACGGACCCACGGGCGACTGGCGCAGCAGGCTCGCTGTGCTACCGGAGATTGTAGCCTCCGGACTACTGGCGTTGCTGGCGACACGACGGCTGCCTCCGCCCAACCTCCCCCAACTGTCGCAGACCCCCTTTTCACACACCCTGTTGCACCTCTAGCTTCACTCCCACGACACCCCCCTAGGACCACTCCTTCGGCTCCCACACACCCACCCCCCTCAGCGGCAGCTGCAGCAGTGGGAGACGGAGAAGGAGGAGGAGGGAACGGTGCACACACGCGCCACCCCCATACCCGCCACCCCATACCCCAAAGCAGGGCAGAAACGCGGGCAGCAGCTGGGGCGGCGTGTGAGCGGAAGCGGGGCGGCGTGCGGGCCCCCAGGGCACCTCGACGAGCGAAAGGAGGGGGGGGGACGCGCGGCCCCCCCAGGGCGCCGCGACGGGCGACGGGAGGGGTGACGCGCGGCCCCCCAGGGCGCCGCGACGGGCGACGGGAGGGGTGACGCGCGGCCCCCTAGGGCGCCGCGACGGGCGACGGGAGGGGGGGGCGACGCGCTGGCCCCCAGGGCGCCGCGACGGGCGATGGGAGGGGGCCGCGCGCGGGCCCCCGAGGGCGCCACGACGGGCGACGGGAGGGGCCGACGCGCGGCCCCCCCAGGGCGCCGCGACGGGCGACGGGAGGGGCCGACGCGCGGCCCCCCCAGGGCGCCGCGACGGGCGACGGGAGGGGTGAGGCGTGGGCCCCCGGGGCGCCGCGACGGGCGACGAAACCGCCGCACGCCTCGGGGTGCGCGACGGGCAGGGCACCGTCGCGCGCCACGGGGCGCACGACGGGCAGGGCAGGACGTCGCGCGGCCAGCAGGGCGGTGCGACAGGCAGAAAACCGCCGCGCGCCACGAGCGCGCGGCAGGCAGAAAACGTCGCGCGCCCGGGGCGCGCGACAGGCAGTACAGAAGTGGAAGCATCGGGTGGGCCCATCCACAGGGTCGACCAGAGGGTCGACCTGCTCTGATAGCATGTCAGAATAGTAAAGAACGGAATGAAAGAAAGAAGAAGAGGGATTTCACTAGCAGGCAGTTGAGTACATATAGCAAACCCTAACAGGGCTGTACTCACTATAGAGTACCCCACTGCAGACTAGAGAAATATAACATTCTGACATTTACAACCGTCGGCGCTTATCCGAGGCCTGCGCTTCTATCCGGGGGCTTACGGTAACGAGCGACTACAGCGTCTTATCGGGCTTTGGCAGTCTTGTGCTGGCCAAATTGAGCGCGTTCGGCTAACGGCAGGTGGTTGCGAATGGCTAAGCGAGCAGCAGCATCACGGGTAAACCACTGTGAGCGAGTCGCACTGTCAGCTGTGGCGGGAGGGGCGAGAGAGGCTCCAGACGTGTGGTCAAACAACAAAACGCTGTCTCTATAATCGCTCAGTAGGTACAGCTGTAAGTCGTCGAGCCACGTATCGAACAGGATCGGACAGCCCTCATGATCAAAGGTGAGTACACTGAGAGAAGCCATAGCGGGCAGAGCAGGGTGGCGAGCGACCAGCAGGGCGGCACGCAGGTAGGGCGGCGCGCGAGCACTAGAGCACAAGAGGAGCGCGCAGGGAAGGGCAGGGCGGTGCGACTGCCAACAGGGCGGCGCGCAAGTAGCAGGGCATCGGCCAGCAAGGCGGTGCACAGCAGGGCAGGCAGCAGCAGGGCGGCGTGGGCAGGAGGGCGCCGGCCAGCGGGTTGCGCGCAGCAGGGCGGGCAGCAGCCGGGCGGCGCAAGCAGCAGGGCGGCGCGCAGCAGGGCTGTGCGGGTAGCAGGGCGTTGGCCAGCAGGGCTGCACGCAGCAGCAGGGCGGCGCGTGGGTGCAAAGGGCGACGCGCGGGCTGCAAGGGGCGGCGCGCGGGCTGCAAAGGGCGGCGTGGCGGGCTGCAAAAGGGCGGCGCGCGGGTTGCAAAGGGCGGCTCGCGGGCTGCAAATGGCGGCGCGCGGGCTGCAAAGGGCGGCGCGACAGGCAGGGCAGGGTGGGGCAAGGCAGCGTGACTAGTGGAGCAGCGCTATTTGGTGGGCCGTAAAGAAAACGGTCCTGGAACAGGACCTGCTTTGAAACCATGTCAGAATACTGAATGAGAATGAATGAACTATGAATGAGTTGGGTACAAGTACTAACCCTAATTGGGTTGTACCCCTTATGGACTACCCCATTACAGCCTAAACAATGTAACATTTTGACAGGTTCTGTATCTGTCACTTCAACTTGGAGGAATTGGCTCCGAGTCTGACTTGCCATGCCTTGTAAAAAGGTTGGGATCCAACAGAGAAAACCCTGGTTCGAAATTGTTGCCGAGCGGGACCTTCGTGACGGATGTTCAGTCTTGGTCCTTTGGCTCCAAATCCGATTCGCCGAGAGTGGTGGAGTTGGGTTGGGAGAGCAGAATTTGCCCTGGTTCGAAGTTGCTGCCCATCAACTGTGCCTTATACACCAAAGCCTCCTATGCCAGGCAGTTGCGTGAGCGGTGTGCTGGGAGCTACCCCCACTGTCCGAGGGGAGAAATCAGGAGCTGCTGCACCCGCAACGGATTTCTTCTGAAAGACCCCGCGCGTCTCATCGTCGGTCGTAGCTTAGCGCCATAGTCCAGTTTCCTCCAGCGACATGAGCTTATCCTGAAAACTTTTTGCCGTAGAATCCACCAAGTTAGGCTCTGTATCCATGGCACCATTGACCTTCCCTTCCTGCCGCCATAAGTTGTAGCTAAGAAACACAGAATAAACGTCTTCCTGAGTTGATAGTGAAGCTTTCTGTAAAACAGGTGGTTCTTGATCTGATATGGTCAGAATCCTTATTTGCTTGAAACATGGACTTGAGTCAGCCGCGTAGACATTCCTTGTAATGCGTTGAGATGACAAGCGTGAAGCTCCTGCTTTTGAACGATGTAGGATGGCAGAAAATGCTGATAATCTGAAAATTATCCGTCCAGAAATTTCCTTGTACTTCACACCCTTACTTGCACCTTTACTTCTTCTCGAGAGCCATTCGATATGTCCTTCACTTTGCTTCTGCTGCAAACATGATGTATACCCCGTCTTGTCAGAAACCAACGCTGATCCAGACTTGGTAGTTCTCGATGGTGGTAAAAAACATGTCAGCGGCTGACGAGACGTCTCTTTTAAAGAATAATAGAAGAGAATGTTGATAGACGAAATATATTTTGCAGTCCAGTTGCTGTGTACTTTCTCTTCTCATGGTGTGTTAAGCCTTTCTTGCTTTCCAGGTTCCAGCTTGGTCATTATCACTTCCTTGGAGTAACTTAATGCTTTGAGCTTAGAACCAGTTAAAACCTGAAAACAGATCTTCACAAGAGGAAGTCGCGACAAACCAATGTTCTCTGTTTGAACACAAAATGGTGCCGTAATCAAGCTCTTGATGAGTAGACCCAGAATATGTATTCAGATCTTGAAACTGATAGTGATTAGCTTGACATTGTGTGAGTTAAAGTTCTCCTAGGAGCCATGGCAGAGAGCTTGGAGCGGAGAGACAGCTGCGGTATCGTATATGTGTTGCAGCGAAGGGGTTTATGACCGGTTCTTCCAAGTGATCCTGAATTAGTTTCCCATAACAGTTTCTCTTTTACTCCAATATCTCCAGAACTCTAGCCTGTCACTCAATAGCGGAGTTACCCTTCACCAACACTCGCTGCTTCATCAAGACTCTAGTCGTCCCACTCGATGCCTTAGGCAAACTAGTCGTAGTCTGAACAGAAACATTAGGTTCTTAGTCGCACCATTTTCGGGGAGGGATAGGTAGCTACTTTTTCCGGGCCCAGTAGCAGCCTCACTGCTTTCGTGTTCTATTAATTTTCTAGAAAGGAATAGTACCTCAGGGTTTCACGATAGAGTGTTTGAGAGTTTCGTCTGCAGCTGCCTCTGCCCCTTCCGTTCTTCGCCTGGGCATGTGGAAGCGCAAATTCTCCGCAGCCGGCGGAGATGCTTCCGCCGAATCTTCCGCCTCGCGCGGCCGTGGTGCGGGCGGGAGCGGAAGCGGAAGCAGCGGATTCGGCTTCGTGCGCTCGGGGGGAAGCGCGTACACGCCGCCCGTAAATCCAGCCGGCTCGTACGGCGGCTTCGGCGGCGGAGGAAGCTACGCCGGCTACCGCGGCGGCTCGGTTCGGCGGTCGCTGCCGGACGACGAGGACGACGATATAGCGGATATCGAATACCGCGATGACGGGGATGGGGGCGCCACGACGGCTACTGGTTTCGGGGAAGGAGAAGACGACGAGGGAAACCGGCGTGCGGCGGCGGCGGAAGAGGAGGAGGAGGATCCGCTCGACGCGTTCATGTCGGGCATCGAGCAGAAGGTGAAGGAGGACGCGGTCGCCGCCACTTCGCGCGCGGCGGCGGCGGCGGCGGGCGCGAAGGGCGGAGAATTGGGGGAAGCCGCAAAGCCGGAGCGGGAGGACTGGCGCGCGGAGGAGGAGGAGGCGGATCTGCTCGACTCGTTCCTGCGCGCGCGCAAGAGCGCGGGGCTGTCGGTGGCGGCGGAGGCGGTGATGGGGCGCGGGTACGACTCGGACGAGGAGGTCTACGCCGCCGCGAAAGCCGTCGACGCCGCTGCCGCCGCCGCGGCCGCCTCCGGCGCTGCGGGCGGCGCGGCTGGGTCCGCGTTAGAGTACGACTCGGACGATAACCCGATAGTGGCCGACTCGGTAACGTCGTTAAAGAGCAAGATGGACGCGCTAGGCCACGTAGACCACTCCGCGATCGAGTACGACGAGTTCGAGAAGGATTTCTACCAGGAGCATCGTGACGTCACCGCCATGTCAGCAGCCGACGTGGCGGCGCGGCTCGCGGCGCTCTCGATCCGCACGTCGGGCTTCGACGTGCCGCGCCCGATCAGCGCGTTCGCGCACGCCGCGCTCCCCCCCGCGCTGATGGGCGCAGTGCGCAAGCACGGCTACTCCGCGCCGACCCCCATCCAGTCCGCCGCGCTCCCCGTCATCCTCTGCGGCCGTGACGTCATCGGCGTCGCGAAAACCGGCTCCGGAAAAACCGCCGCGTTCGTCCTCCCGCTGATCGTCCACGCGGCGGACCAGCCGCGCGCGGGGCGCGGGGAGGGCCCGATCGCGCTGATATGCGCGCCGACGCGCGAGCTGGCCGCGCAGATCCACGCGGAGGCGCGGCGCTTCGCGAAACCCCTAAACCTCCGCGTGGCGGGCGTGTTCGGCGGGATGTCGAAATTCGACCAGTTCAAGGAGCTCAAAGGGGGCGTGGAAGTGGTGGTGGCGACGCCCGGGCGGCTGATCGACATGCTCAAGATGAATGCGCTGTCGCTGCGACGCTGCACGTTCCTGGTGCTAGATGAGGCTGATATGATGTTCCACCTGGGCTTCGAACCGCAGGTATCGTTCCGCTGTTGTTCTTTCATTAGGCCTAACTGCGCAACTTCTGTTCTCTGAGAATCCCGACTGTCGCTCGTGCTGAACGAGGTTGACCGACATGATGTTCCACCTGGGCTTCGAACCGCAGGTGAGAGCTTGTTGGGCACTTGGTTTTGCATAGCCTCAGGTATCGTACCACTGCTGTTGTTTCGCTTAAGCCGCCTAACTGTACGACTGCTCTGCCGCTCTCTGAGAACTATGTCTGAACACTGCTGCCATGCTGTTACACCCTCCTCTTTTGCCTCGACCCCATCCTCCCGCAGGTGCGAGCCATCGTGGCGCAGATCCGCCCCAACCGCCAGACGCTGCTCTTCTCCGCCACCATGCTGTTCCACCTGCCCTTGACTGACCTCGTGTTCTACACTCCTTTTTTCCACCCCCACCACAGGTGCGGGCCATCGTGGGGCAGATCCGCCCTGACAGGCAAACCCTCCTCTTCTCCGCCACCATGCCGCGCCGCATCGAGCGCCTCGCGCGGGACATCCTTACGCACCCCGTGCGCATCGCCGTGGGGGAGGTGGGCGCAGCCAACACGGACGTGCGGCAGCAGGTGGTGGTGCTGGCAGGGGACGACGGGAAGGTCCCGTGGCTGCTGGGGGAGCTGGGCACGCGCGTGGACGAGGGCGACGTGCTCGTGTTCGCCGGGACGAAAGCCAAGGTGGATGTGGTAACCGCCGCCGTCGCAGCCGCGGGGTTTAAAGTCGGTGCGCTGCACGGGGATTTGGACCAATCGCGGCGCAGCGAGGTGGTGCGGCAGCTGAAGAAAGGGGAGCTGCACGTGGTGGTGGCCACGGATGTAGCGGCGAGAGGGCTGGACATCCGGTCCATTAAAACAGTGATCAATCTGGACAGTGCGAGGGACATGGACGCGCACGTGCATAGAGTGGGAAGGACGGGCAGGGCGGGGGATACGGATGGAGTGGCGATTTCGGTGGTGACGGGGAAGGAGGCGCGGTTTGCGGGCGAGCTGGTGGGGTGCCTCGTGGCGGGCGGGCAGGAGGTGCCTCCTGAACTGCTCGAGCTGGCGATGAAGGTGAGGTGGGGGGGGGGGAGTAAAGTATGAAGGTGAGGGGAGAGGAGGTTTGAAGTTGAGAGGGAGGGTGGAGCGCATGCACGGGCAGGGCGGGGAATACGGATGGAGTGGCGATCTCGGTGGTGACGGGCAAGGAGGCAAGGTTTGCGGGCGAGCTGGTGGGGTGTCTGGTGGCGGGCGGGCAGGAGGTGCCTCTTGAGCTGCCGGAACTGGCAGTGAAGGTGAGGGGGGGACGGAAGTGAGGGGGAGGGGGGCTTTGTGGTGAGAGGAGAAGGGGGCGCCTAGTCATCTTGACAAGATCATGACTCGGGTAAGGAGGGGTGCGCCCCTTGCTCTGACGAGAGAGGGGAAGCACGATACGGGAGGGAGGCAGGAGGGTGTACTTGAAGGTTATGAGAAGGAGGGGTGGGCTGTTGCTGGTGGGGGTTGCTGTAGAGTTATGGGAGGCTCTCTGGGTCTCTCTCTCTCTGGGTCTCTCTCTCTGGGTCTCTCTCTCTGGGTCTCTCTATGGGTCTCTGCTTTCTCTAACTCGCCCCGGTCTTGGTGTGCTGTTCGCTTCTTTCGCAGGATGCTCGGTTCAGAGCGCAGAGGGAGGGCAGAGGAGGTGAGTCACTGGGCTCTGTTCTTCTCTCCACCATCTCTTGCCATTTACCCCTAACTCCTCCCGCGTTCTCCCATCCCTCCCCCCCCCCCCCCCTCCGGCCCTCCCTCCCTCACTTTTCTTTGAGAAACGTCCCTGCTTTTCTGCGTTCTTTTTTTGGACCCGTTGCACTAGCTTGTTACTCAAAGCTTTTTCTCTCTTCCCTCCCTCCTTACCGTTCTTTCTCCCTACACCGTTCCTCCTCTCTTCCCTCTCGGCCCGCCACCCTTGCCCCTCACCATTCACAGGTTTCCGCAAGGGCAAGGGGGGAAGAGGCGGAGGGGGAGGGGGGAGGGGGGCACGGGGGGTGGACTATGGCATGGGGCTGGGCTTCCAGGAGGGGGGAGGGGCAGGGGCAGGGGCAGGGGCAGGGGGAGGGGGAGGGGGAGGGGGGAGAGGCATGAGGGCGAAAGGTGGGGGGCGAGGGAGTGGGGCAAATGCGTTCGTGTCTGGGGGGTCGCTGGGTGTTGCAGGGACGCCCACTGATCATGCTGCTTCTGCTGCTGCTGGCGGTGGTAGTGGTGCTACTGGTGGCAGCAGTGGGGGCAGCAGGGTGGGCACGCGAGCAGGGGCAGTGGATGGACTGCGGGTGGGCATGATGGCCAAGTTCAAGTCCTCCTTTGTTGCTGCCTCAGCTCCCCACCCCCACGACCCTGTCCCCGACCTCCCTCTCCCCCCCCCTCCTCCCCCACCTGCTCCTGCCGCGTCTCTGCCCGCTCCTCCACCTCCTTCTGCTGCTGCCCTTGTAGCACCACAAGCAGCAGTCGCAGCGCCAGCTTGGGGGCCGACCGGCGGTGGTGGTGTTGCTGCTGCTGCTGGCGGCAGCAGCATGGGGGCAGACGTGGTGGCGGCTGCGATTGCAGCGGCTGCAGCCAAGGCTGCTGCCATTGCTGCCAGCCTGGGCCTGCAGGCTCCTGGGGGAGTGGGTGGGGCAGCAGGCCTGGGAGGGGAAGGAGCGGGAGGGATGGCAATGGGAGGAGGGGCGACGGGGGCAGTTGCAGGCTTGGGTGCTGCAGGAGGAGTTGATGGTGTTGGGGAGGTGGGGGATCGAGGTCAGGAGAGAGGGTTGGACAGGGATAGAGAGAGAGACAGAGAGAGCGACAGGGAGAGGGAGAGGGAGAGGGAAAGGGAGAGGGAGAGGGACGGATATGGAGGTAGGGATAGAGGCAGTGAGAGGGAGAGGGAGAGATATAGAGAGAGGGAGGGGGATCGGTACCGTGACAGGGATCGGGAGAGACACAGAGAGAGTGATCGGGATGGGGGTAGGGACAGGGACAGGGACAGAGATAGGGAGAGGGATAGGGAGAGAGAGCGGGGGAGATATGGTGAGAGAGAGGAGAGGAGCAGGGGGAGGGAGGAGGGAGGGCGGCAACGGTCCAGTCGATGGGGATGAGGGGATGGGGAGATGGGGAGGTGGGGAGGTGGGGAGGTGGGGAGTTAGGGAGGTGGTGAGGTGGGGAGGTGGGGAGATGAGGAGGTGGGGAGATGGGGAGATGGGGAGGTGAGGAGATGGGGAGATGGGGAGATGGGGAGGTGGGGAGATGGGGAGATGGGGAGATGGGGAGATGGGGAGATGAGGAGATGGAGAGGTGGGGAGATGGGGAGATGGAGAGATGGGGAGGTGGGGAGATGGGGAGATGGGGAGATGGGGAGGTGGGGAGATGGGGAGATGGGGAGGTGGGGAGATGGGGAGATGGGGAGGTGGGGAGATGGGGAGATGGGGAGATGGGGAGGTGGGGAGATGGGGAGGTGGGGAGATGGGGAGGTGGGGAGATGGGGAGGTGGGGAGATGGGGGAATGGGATCACTGGAGCGTGGTGAGGGCTGTGCCGCATGGTGGAGAAGGGTGTGAAGCGGTGATTGTAGGGGCTCACCTCTCACTACCCTTTTATGTATGGGTTTGCTGCGACATCTTCCCTGTCTTCCATTTTCGGCCCATTTCCCCCTGCCAACACTACACTGACGGGTCGCGAAGTGCATTAGTGGTTGCCGCGACACCAACACGGCACGCACACGCACGTGCCATCATGTGCCACTGTGCAACATCGTCTTTTACTAGTTTCTGTTGAGATAATATCGAGACTTGTGCACTTCAAGGAATTCGTGTAGTGTAGTTAGTACAGTAAATGTACCGATAGGCTGACGTCAGCAAAGCGCTATGCGCCCTAGGATGACGTCAGCAGTAGCTGTAGGTATCGCGAATAGTCACGTACCGTTTCAGGCTAATAGGTACATTAAACGAACAGGTACTTTACTCTAGCTATATATTTTTGTATGTCTGTCATTTTATATATACTTGATTTCAGAGACATTGATCCTGTTACAAGTCACTCATATAAAACTTCCACTGCTACAGGAAGCTACTATCCTAAGACTACGATCCTATTCAGACAGGTTAAATTCTAACATGGTATGAGAGCCACTTAGGATTATAACAGCTTCCACCTGCCTACTCTACAACTATGTCTGGATCTCCAAGGTCCAACAATGACTCTTCTGTTACGAGCCCATCACGCCCAACAGCGTCTCCAGCTGCTGATAATTCACATCTTCAGCAACAACAACAACAATATTGTTGAGATAATGTCGAGACTTATGCACTTCAAGGAATTCGTATAGTTAGTACAGTAAAAGTACCGATAGACTGACGTCAGCAAAGCGCTACGCGCCCTAGGATGACGTCATCAGTAGCTGTAGGTATCGCGAATAGTCACGTACCTTTTCAGAACAGGAATAGCGCGAATAAATACAGCACAGTAGGCGAACAGGTACTTTAGTCTAGTTATATATTCTGTATGCTTGTCATTTTATAATATACTTGATTTCAGAGACCTTTGATCCTGTTACAAGTCACTCATATAAAAGACTTCCACTGCTACAGGAAGCTACTATCCTAAGACTACGATCCTATTCAAACAGTTCAAATTCTAGCATGGTATGAGAGCAACTTAGGATTAAAACAGCTTCCATCTGCCTATTCTACAACTATGTCTGGATCTCCAAGGTCCAACAATGGCTCTTCTGTTACGAGCCCATCACGCCCAACTGCGTCTCCAGCTGCTGATAATTCACATCTGCAGCAACAACAACAACAACAACAACAATATCAGCAACAACCGATGTACGGCATGCCATTGAGCAGTCAGCCCGTACACACAACTACAGCAGCGGCATCATCGACAGCAGCATCAGCAGCCTCAACAGCTGCAGCTGCAGTCCCTGGTTCTTCAAGTCAACCGGGACAACAGTCTAACTTCGTTCCGACTGGACCTTACCAATATCAAGGTGCTTACCAACCAGCAAATCTTCAACAACGTGTTAATGCTGCCGTCTTGTCGCTTAACCAGATGTTTCCAACTCCGATGAGCATTGATGGCTCCAGTTATCAGCGTGGTCAGATGCCACAAGGAAGTGATGGGTCGAACAACTCTTTCTCCTTCGGTCCTGCTGGACAAGGACAACAAACACAACAAGGGTCACAAGCGCCATCACTCTATCAGCTACAATCAGCTGACGGTACCGGAAGTTATATTCCTGCTTCTGCAAATCCTACAAAAATCAAAACGACAATGCCTTTTAACGGTCAAGATTTTTATATACCTGGAGCTTTGAGTTTGAGCTTCTTGTTCAGACCGCGGGGTTCTGGCAGCTGTATGACGGCACAGCACCATTTCCATCACACGGGTCACCACTTCAACAAGCCACTTTTCGATCGGCGTCGCTGACTGCATACACAGTTCTCGTTCGTAATCTGACTCCGACTGAACAGCTCGGAATTCGTTCTTTTCGTAGCAGTGTCGCTCCCGCTGAAGCAGCTTGGTTATACCTGCAAGGGGTTCACATGGCAAAAGATACTGTCAACTAGAGTAAAATTTTGACGCAGCTGTCAAATATACAGATGATAAACGGCGAGAAGGTGACGCAGTATATTAACCGCGCTCGAAATCTACGCGATCAACTTCAGAAGTGTGGAGGGTACTTCCCCGACGCTATGTTCCACACGGTGCTACTTGCGGGTCTTGGACCAGAATGGCGACAGTGTCGCTCTATACCTCGGATGCAAGCACAGTTGTCCGAGGGGGCACTCTGTGCCGCTCTCATCGCCGAGCAGCAGGATATGGATCTGCACAACGCTCGAGGAGGGAAAAAGATGGTAAATAATACAGTCAGTTTTTATTCTAATCCACATCACAAGCCCGTTTGTTCTTTTTGTCGAAAACCAGGACACACTATTGATACCTGCTGGTCGAAAGACAAACCATCTTGGAAGCGGTCTGCTTCGAAACATAATAAAGATTCTTCAAGTGAAGCAGAGAAGCCGGAAGCAGAGAAGCCGGACGCTGAGAAGCAGAATACTGCGAAGCTGAACTCTGCGAAGCCGACTACTGTACCTGCCAAGACACAAACAAAAGCAGTTATTAATTGCATGACATCAGTGCCAACGGTTTATGATCCTGATGCTGAAGAGCGGATTCACAACCGGTTCAACAACGAACTCAACACACCGATTCCACCAGAGGTCTATGCAAATCTTGCACATACCATTGCAGGTCCCAATACTTGGTACCTCGACAGTTGCTGCGGCCAGCACATGTGTTCGTCAGAGACGCGTTTCATCGTGAATCAACGCCGTCTGGAGAATCCCGTTGTCGTCACGGTCGCCAATAACCAACGACTTACAACTCACTGGATGGGAAGTATTGTTCTGGACTCAGTTGAAGAAGACTTCAGTCTTCACCTGAACGAAGTTCTTCTGGTCCCTCGGCTTGGCTTCAACCTCATGTCATCTGCACAGCTCATGAAGAACGGGATTATACTTCTCGGTGAACCTGGAAAATTCACTCTGAAATACGGTGAAAAGAAACTTGGCACGGCAGTTGAGCAAAACGGTGTTTTCGTTTTGAACTTCATACCTGAGCGTACTACTGCTGACTCTGATAACATTCTCCCGCTTGGTCCTTGGGAGCATCGTGATGATATTGATTACACCGACGATACAGTTCCACGTGAGGGAGTTGTCCCGACGTCTTCAACCACGGCTGCCGCCGTCATGTTGACCTTTGACGATCAAGGCTTGAATGATGTTGAGAACTCTCGGGAGTACATGGCTGCAGTTGAAGGTTGGGGTGATCCGACGAACATGCCGACTGATGACGGCATCTGGGGGGCTGACGAACCCGATGAAACAACTTGGGGCGAGACACCTGCTGAACGCGATGCTCGTCTTCTCGCTGAAGCTGAACAACGCGTCGCTGAAATGGAGATTCTTGACTCGGGTCGTCTCGTTGGAGTTGAACCTGTACTTGCAGCATCCGATCAAGAAAGCGGCGAGTTAGTACTTGCTCCAGGCGAGTACGTGGATGTTGAGGTTCGTGTTCCACCACGAAATCTTACTCGTTACGTCGCACCTGCTTTCGATCAGATCCGCTCCGATGGTCATCAGCTTCTGTTGTCGTTCTTCGCTAACGCCGAGTACTATCTGCGCGCACAAGGTCACAAAGCCACGGGAGAAACATGGCATAAACGACTTGGTCATCCGTCGCAGCTTACGCTAAACAACACGATCAAGGCTGCAGTGCTTGACAAAATTTCGTTACTCTTACCGAGCGGTCTCCAACTGAAGCCGGTGAATCGCCCGGCACCCTGCACCATCTGCCCTGCGGCAAACCTACCGCACGAGCCGTTCCCGACTCATTTCCCTGGAGCTGACGATTATCAACTGATGGATAAGGTTTACAGCGATATACTTAACTTACCTGAGGATGGTTTCAACGGCGAACGCTACGTTATCACATTTACAGACGCTTCTACTCGTTACGTTTGGACTGGAAACATGACTAACCGTTTTCTTGCGTTTACAGCTTTCCGCACCTGGCTTCCTCTCGCCGAACGAGAGTCTGATACTAAGCTCAAGGCGTTTCAGTGTGACGGCGCCGGCGAGTATCGCAGTACTGAGTTCACGGCCTATCTGCAAGAACGTGGGATAAGACGACTTTTTTCGTTGCCTCACGCTCATCAGCAGAGTGGCGTAGCTGAGCGGCTCAACAGGACTCTGCAAGAGAAGATGCGGGCCCTTCTTGCCCAGGCTCAACTCGGCCCACTCTACTGGCCTTTCGCCATGGACCATGCAACGCTGTTGCACAATCTTCTTTCGTCCTCGGCCCTGCCCAACAACGCATCACCCCACTTGCTGTGGACGGGCAAGTTGGGTACCACTAAATTACTTCGTGTTTTCGGGTGTGTTGTTCAGTACCGTCCTCCTACCGCTCCGCTCGGGAAGTTCGATCAGCGTGCTAAGTGGGGACTACATCTCGGCATTGAAAAACAATATTTTGCCTGGCGTATCATGGATTACCGCAGCCGTCTTCTTGTTCCTGCTCGCGATTGTATTTTCTACGAGAATCTGACGCTGCCCGTCTTCGAACAGCATCTTGCCATGCAGCAAAACCCTGCCACGCTTTTCCACGGTGTTCGTTCGTTTGCTAACGCCGATGTCGAAATTGCTGCCAGCGAAGAACCTGACTCTGACGGTGCACGTGAAGCTGCTCCCGACCCACCTGTCCCCGTCACGTCATCTGGAATTCCGGAGTTTATTCCTCTTGCTGACGCGGCACCTGAGGATGTCCGCGAAGTTCATCATACTTACCTCGTGGATGAACAACGCCAACCAATGCCGGTGGTTTCCGATAGCAGCATCCGTGTCAACCCTGACGAAATTGGGGGGGCAAGTGGAGACCAGAATGATTCTGTCAATTTCGCAGGTCGTCCCGACGATAATCCACATTATCAGACCGGACTGCAAATTCTGGGACTCGCAGCAGCGGTACAGCACAGTTCTACAGTAAATTTGGA